TGTTGTTAAAGTAGCTGATACACAATCTTTAACCAATACCAATCAGATCGAAGAATTTATATACAAAATAAAAAGTCGAATGGAACCATACATTGCTGATACAAATATTTTAGACGATATACTTAATGTATTACGAGAACAACTCAATTACCTCCATTCTGAAATTCAATGTCATTCGAAGATGATATTAGAATTTCAAGAGAGCAATCGAATGCTTCTAAATGAAAAGTATTTGAATGCAGCAAGGTTTAAATTGAATTGCAGTAGGTTTAAAAGCATTAAATATTCGAGAAAAAATTCTACCAGGTAATCGTCCACATATAGCTGATAGTTGTAATAATGTTGCACTTATTTGTCATCAATTATGTGAATATGAAAAAGCATTAAGTTTATTTAAAATATCTTTACAAATTTATGAGAATGATGATGATCAAAAATTAAGGATACCGATGTGTTTAAATAATATGGGACTTTTATATTTAGATCAACATGATTATGATAAATCTATTGAATATTATTTTAAAGCATTAGATTTATATATAAATGAAGATGATTTGAAAAAATATCATGAAGAAATTGGTTTTACATATAATAATTTAGGTGTAGCTTTTGAAATGAAATTTTGATAATGCATTAAAATATTATACAAAAGCATTAGGTAATCATGAACAAGATCCGGAAAAATTTATTACAATATCAACAAAAATTGGAAATATTTATCATCAAAAAGGTGATTATGATTTAGCATTAGAACATTATCAAAAAGCATTAAATTATAGTGATAATAGTCCACCTGATCTTTTATCATCTGTTCTTATGTCTGTAGGAATTATTTATCATCGACAACATAAATATAATTTAGCACTTGATATGTATAAACGTGTTTATCTATTCGAAAAGTTTTATCATCAAATCATAAACTTGATTTAGCTTGGACATATAATAATATTGGTTGTCTTTATGATGATATGGGAGATTTAAAATGAGCATTAAAATATCAAGAAAAAGCTTATAATATACGACGAGAATCATTACTATCAACAAATCCGGATTTAGCAACAAGTCTAAATAATCTAGGACGTATTCATCAAAAATTTTTTTTGCACATCATTTAGGTGGAAATCCAGATGAAATGGAACAAGCATTACGAAATTATAAATCATCACTTCGTATTCGACAAAAATCCTTACCAAGAGTGGAACTCATCGATTATGTATGCTGAGTACTACAATGAATGTGATCCAATAGAATGCACGTATACGGAGGAGAGCAGAAATAATGCGTTATATATAATCACAACACTAATTGGTCTTGTTGGAGGTTTGACAACGGGCCTCAAGCTGATTGTGCCGTTGATAGTGAAGCTGTCTATGGATTTATTTTGAAAGAACTTGAACGACAGAATGTCATCAAAGTTTCCGACACCGGTATGAACTTGCAGTAACTTTCTTTGTCAATTCAATTTATAATCGATTGTACTTTGTAATTCAAAATAAATAAATTTTTTTATCATATGAGCAACACACAGGCTGAATATCTGGTCCTTTTGTTTCTATGAGAACGGAAGAGATATACCGTTACAGGCAGTGGTTAATGGCCGTTGTTGAGGCGTAATTATGTGCCTTTTTCCTCTAGATCATTACAGCTACTGTACTCCGAGATAACAAGACACTTTTTGTCTCTTTATTTTTCAATTCACATTAATTATAATGACAAAACAACACAACACATAAAACTTGTCTTTATGCAACTCTTGCAACTACCATATTCGTTCGTCGTTTTATTCTTTTCATAATCGATGTTTTAAGTGGTTCAGTAAAGTAAATTAGAATGATTGTTGTTATAACTATTGAGGAATCCATAAATATTGAAGCAATACGCAAATCATGTTGAATTTTATGATCAAAAACTATGAATAAGAACACGACCATATATGGTATACCAAATGTAAATAATATCAATACTAATATAATTATACGACGAATCATATTCAATTCTTTTTGCGCACGAGCTAAACTATTCGCAGGTGTTATATGTTTACGCATTTGTTTAAGATGATAAACTAATGTAAAATAAATCAATACTGTTAATGTATTAGCAAATGTATAGCTACAAAGCGCCATATAGATAACTGAAAAAGTTACTTGAAGAATTAATAGACATGCTTGACTATTAATATCATATTTCACTTCGTGACGGAGAAAAAATTCTAAAGGATATATAAATGCTACGATCCATGCTACACAAATGAGAAAGAATTGAAATCGAAATGATTGAAACCGTAAACGATTTGGGTGAACAACGATCAGATATCGATATAATGCTTGCAGGAAAAATGAATAATTATGTACAGTACTTAAAACATATAATGCATATCCTCGAAATAAACACAATGAATCTTCATAAGGGATTTGTTGAATATCACCTTGTAATGTATATAAAAGTTGACTAAATCCATCAATTGCAAGTAATAATTCAATAACATATGAATTTGCAACTAACATCATTGGAACTGTATGATATGTTTTATCAAGAATAATAATAAATAAACAAATTAAAGATATGATAATTGCAAAACTAAAACAAACGATCACTATTATGTCGAATGGAATAAACCATGATTCAGTGTTTACAACAATTGAATTATTGTTATTTAATTCCATTTTTATTGTAAAAGAAAAACAAGCTTATAGTGTCAATTCTTTGAAAGTATGCGCACAGTAAAAGAAAGGTGAATGAGTATGATCAAATAAGACTAGTAAATTTAGATGCTAAAAAAAATTCTGTTTCCTGTGTCCGAATAACCATTATTTTCATATCTCATGCTTTAAAGGAAGTTTTGTGTTGTTACCCTGGTTATCATTATACACCTTTTGTCTATAAAAAATAATGATAATTATGATCTTTATTTTTAGAAGTAAAGATAAATTAAAGAATAAAGAAATGGAGAAATCTTTATTCTTTAAAAAATGGTAACTGTCACAAATGTCCTTTAGAAAATGTCCTCGACGAAATGTCCCCGGATTTTAGTCCTTTAGAAAATGTCCTTGACAATGTTGCAGTACCAAATACTGGCTTGACTTTAAACATTATTTGATAGAAGTGAAACAATCACTCAAAAGACAGTATGTTAACTTGTTATCTAAATGAATACAGAAATTAAACGGGAATTCTAGTTTACTTTATTCAAAGCTTATAGAAATATTGATATAATGAACAGTCGCATGAAAAAAAAAATCATTGATGGCCTTTTTTTACTTTATGGAAACATTCTCCTTATATTACAGCTAAAAAAGTATGCATTTAGATCTTCTGGATTTAGCTTTTCTCATTCGCAGGAGTGTAGCAAAAAAATTTGGATGACTATTTATAACACTATTAGTTACATCTTACATCTTACCTATAAGATAACAAACGAGTTAGAACGAACTGCTTTTGTATCGTTCGTTAGCCTTTACAAGCACTATATCCTACCCTACTCAGATGCATTTTCACCGTCATCCCCTCTGACTTTTCAAAAATATGTTCTCTTGTCTTTTAGAAGCATATGCTGAGTTGCAAAACCTGAGTAAACAGAAGCATATTTAGAGAAAGCCATATATCTCAATAATACAAACGTTCCGTCTATAAATTACAATGCTATGACATGACGATTACATCTGTTTTTGAGTGTTAACAGCAATACTGACTAATATTGATCAGGTAGCGTAAATAAATAATTTCATGCACTTTTTCGTTATCTTAAGGATCTGTTTTTATTGAGAAATGTCTTTTGCAGCTTTGATATCTATATGGGTCATAAAAGAGATCTCGGATCTGGCCGTGAGATCTCTATGGTGTATATTTTGCATGTCATACTATGTACATTACTTTACCAGTCTGACGTGACCCGCTCTGCTAATAATCGTTTTGGTATCGAGAGAGGTCTCTTTGGCCGTGCCTGTTTTACAGTTTCTTTCGAATCTTTTCGAAAGTTTCCCTATAATCTACACGATAAAAATGATTTTGTAGTAGTTTCTCTTAAGCAAAAGAATAATTCAAGTGCTTTTGATTGTTCACCCATGTTGTTATATGCCAAAGCCATGTTATTATAAGTAGCAGATAAAGAAAGACCGTCTCATTCTCAAAAGAGATATATATTTAACCCTCATCCGTTCACCTATAGGACTATCACTTGTTGCCCACCTGGGGTC